GTGCATGTAGTGTTGTGTTGGCTGGAGGGGCTGTAGCTTTCCAAAGCTGGGGCTGGTAAAATTTTTAAGCCTTTGTGAGTTCTATTGTGGGTTTTTTCCTGCTAGGTGTTTATTTTCTGTACCTGTAGTTAGAGCAGTTAAAAGTGAGAGAGCTGAACTATCAGTTAACACTAGTGCAGTGGGATCCTAATCTCTTGTAGTTAAATTTGCTTTAAATGTAAGCCCTCCTCGACTCTCAGATGTTATTAGTAGACTCACACATAGTGCTAAGTCTTGGTTTGTTTAACAGTGACACCCTAAACTAAAACCAAACCTTATTCTCTTTTAAAGCCATGTGTGAATCCAGTCTATAGTTCTATATTTTTTGCTACTCATTGAACAAGCAGAGTCAGTTCCTACCGTAGAAGGCACTAACCAGATAACAAGAGAAGGAGCCTGCAAAAGGGTTGGTCCCAGGTTCCCAGCCCAATCTTCAGAGGCAGTGTGCTCACCCCAAAGCCTATGTCTACACAAGAAGGTGTCTCCCACTCATATCCCAAGTTTAGTTCAATGGGATTGGTTGGATCTGTTCACTTCTGATCAATGGGCTGGTTTAATTTTTTTTTTTTTAATCTAGGCCTGAAAAAAGGGCTTGAATGAATGTGAGAAATGTGTTACTAAAGGTCTGAATTGAACACATTAGGGGCTGGGGCAATCTTTGGGTAGAGCTTATGCTTATTTGCAAACTTGTGGAAACAATTGTTCCATAAGCCTCAAGGGAATAGCTTTCACTTGTGTGTTCTATAAATTAGAAAAGCATAAAAAGGAATTCTTGTGGGTGTCAGATCTTTTAACATGTCCATTTAATAGCCTCTCCCATCTGTAGCCAACTAACATCCAATTTAAAAAAATGAAGTGGCAATAAAAAAGTGCCCCTGCGCATATAAAGAAAGTGTTTTTCTTGTGATGCCAAAGCTCATGGGTCCCACACAGGAGACTCATCCATTGGCCATGGAGAACAGTCTCCAAACCAACTTCTCTCTCAAAAGTTTAAAGCTCAGGCTATTTTCTATCTCTTCTGTATCCGGACACTGCAGACATGCACAATACACATACTGTAAGTATTTCTCTCTTTCTCTCTCTTTCTCGCGGGCACACACACGCACCCCCCCCCTCTTCTGTTCTCTTTCAGGCATTTTCCAAATGAAATCAGGTACCCACCCCCATTAATAGACAAAAAGAATCCGTCCCCCTGGCTCTAAAATTCAGTCGTGAGAGGTGGATGTCAGGCTAACCAGAAAAGCAGGGACCCTTTGAAAATGTGAAGTCAGCCAAAGCACAGGTGAGCCAAGGGAAGAGCAGCCTTACTGCATTGTTTCCATAGAATTAAATGCACATCAGTGAAATGATTAGGAACGCAACAGTAGGAAGGGGGAAAGGAAGATTTAGTCCCATTTTAGTCCCATTGTCAGGTGTCGACACGTGCCAGTAGTTTTCAAGGCTTGGAACCTTGCTTTAAACATAGAAAGAGGGAAGAAAGATGGTGCTGGAGGAAAAGTTCTCCGATTTCTACCTAGCTTGCACAGATAATGCATGCAACCGTGAATCTCACAGTTCGGGGTGTGATAAGCGGCAAACGTGTAATATACTAGGAGGTAAAGTCGTAGATGGAGGCTGCTGACTGCGTGTTCCGTCTGGCCGAGTCTTTCATTAAGTATTTCAGGCTGGGATGGAAATTTGGCAGCACAGTCTGGTTCGAGACAAAAGGTTGAGATTTTAGGCATGTGTGTGCGAGCGCCCGATAAGGGAGGGACGTGAATCTTTGTGTGCACACTCTTGAACAGCGAGGGAGGGGCGTGGATCTTTTCCATTTGTGTGGCCCCCTGAGGGACGTAAGATCTACCAGACGACGCGCCCCCTCTTCTAGATGCCCTTGCGGGAGCCGGGCAAACACGGCAGCCCCCAGCTTCGAGGGATCTCCCCCTCCTCCCCCGCCTATGCTAGCCTCTTGCCAGCCCTGTCTCCACTTGAGCCGCAGCTCCAGGCATGCCCACCCGCTCCAGAAACGCTCCGGTCCGGTGTCAGAAGGGAACGCTCGCTCAACCAGCGCTTAAGAAGGATGAGGGACGGGGATTCTTTGCTACAAAATAAAGGCGTGGCTTTTATTTCTTCTTTGCTAGGATCGACCACTCTCTTTTTCTCACCTGGCTTTTGCGAGGGGATCTTCTCTGCCCCCTCCACTTGATACTGGTGTTGATGATGAAGGAAGTCTCCAGGCCAAGCCTGTTGGGCCACTCCGCCTCCGCCTCCCCCTCCCCACAGCTCCTCCTCCTCCCTTCCGCAAGTGCATCAGTGCCGGGGCCGCCCCTTCTCGCTCCCTCCCCCCTCCCGCACCTCCTCCTCCTCCCTTCCGCAAGTGCATCAGTGCCGGGGCCGCCCCTTCTCGCTCCCTCCCCCCTCCCGCACACACCGCTCCTCCCTTCCGCAAGTGCATCAGTGCCGGGGCCGCCCCTTCTCGCTCCCTCCCCCCT